TATGATCTTTCCAATATATAAAGGACCTATGGTATGAGTTTCGTTGAGGTAGGAGGTCCGTAATTGGGCCGAATTTCCGTAGTAACTACGGACGTTCAGTAGTACTTGAGAACCCTGCACTTTCGATTTTACTCAGTGCATATGACTTTGCAGTGAATTTCAATGACGTCATCTTTGTCTCAGCGTATCAACGTCCCAGTGTATCAGCGTCTCAGTGTATCAGTGTATCAGCGTTTATAAGACAACGGACTAATTGGCCCTGTTGGGTGTCCCCCCCCCCCCTAGGAGAAAAGCCACGATTCGTTTAAGATAAAACAAATATGTATTTTTTACATTAGGCAGATTCTCAAAATAAAATAAATTAAATTAATGCATTGAGATAGACTAATTGGAAAGATTAAGACTAAAGACTTGAACAAGTGATAGACCAGCGTTGCAAAATATGTAAATTGGGTAAAAACCAGTCGAACCAACTGGACCTATGGGAGACCATTGAACCAACTGGACCTATTGGGCAGACCAGTTGGACCAACTGGACCTATTGTGTAGACAAGTTGAACCAACTGGACCTTGGGTAGACCAGTTTTGGACCAACTGGACCTACTGGGTAGACCAGTTGGACCAACCGAACCTATGGGTAGACCAGTTGGACCAACTGGACCTATTGGCTAGACCAGTTGGACCAACTGGACCTATTGGGTAGACCAGTTGGATCAACTGGACCTATAATGTAGACCAGTTGGACCAACAGGACCTACTGGGTAGACCAGTTGGGCCAACTTGACCTATTGGGTAGACCAGTTGGACCAACTTGACATATTGAATAGACCAGTTGGACCAGTTCAACCATTTGGTACTACCAATTGGACCAGTTCAACCAGTTGGATAGGCCAGTTGGACCAGTTAAACAAGGTCGGGAGACCAGTTGTACCAGTTGGAATTCTAGTTGTACCAGTTGAATTTCCAGTTGGACCAGTTGAAAACCAGTTAAACCAGTTGGAAACCAGTGGTCCCAACTGGAATTTATACCTGGGGAGTGTACGGCATTTCTAACATAACTGATTCCAAAGCCAACCTAACGACAAACCATACCATGTTAATCTGATATCACTCGTGATACATTATTGCTTATGTTCTAGAATCAAACACAATTTAACAGTACAAGATCCTACACCTAAGCTCTACTTCTAAGTAAACGCCACACTGAAGCCTCCAAAAAAAAAAAAACAACATAGGCCTATATCAATTTCCGACATTTAGCTTAATATTGAGGAGGATCCACTTGGGATTCAGTTATCAGGAAATGTGTGGTGTTGTATTTTTTATGACTTTTGTTCAGTAATTAATTAAGATGACACATGACCCATCATGCACCTTCATCTGATTTACCCATTCCGATATCTTTTACCTTTTTGATTTCCAGTGCCCTAACGCCACGGACGTAATATTTAAACATATGTTACTGATTTGGTAAACTAAATTATTCACGCTAAAAATACAGAAACAAATAATAATAATAATAATAATAATAATAATAATAATAATAAGGCGGCGGCGGGCGAAGAAAGTTTTTGATCGAGTTTCTAGTCCACATATTAAGCGCCCTGAGCATCTTATGTTAGATGGATATGTGCACTATATGAAACTACATTATTATTAAAACTACATTATTATTATTATTATTATTATTGTTATTATTATTATTATTATTAAACTTCGTGTCTGTGCCACCCAGTAACCCGGTATACCAGCAACTCTCGTCGTCCACCACATGGGCTGTCTGTTCCAGTACACCGGGGTATCCCCCTACTCGTCTCGAAGGATGTTCTGGGTTTTTTATGGTGCACACGAGCCATTGTCTCACACAAAAGGTGCTTCTGTCGACAATATGAATTCTGTTATCTACAAAAGTGCTTTTGTCTACAGTATGGAATTTTGTGGTGACAAAATGAATTATGTCTTCTACAAAAGTCCTTGTGTCGACAAAATGGAATTTTGTGGTGACAAAATTAATTTTGTCTCAGAAAAAGCTATTTTGTTGACAAAATAGCATTTTGTGGTGACAAAATTAATTCGGTCCTACAAAAACACCATATTGTCGACAAAACAGCATTCTGTAGTGACAAAATAACATTTTACTATAACAAGTTTTATTATTATTATTATTATTATTATTATTATTATTATTATTATTATTACCCAAACGTAGTACAGAGGGTAAGTACGTACAATCTATACCACGAATAGCACTTACCATCATCTTCCTGAATAGCTACGAAAAAAAATTAAAATATAAAATTTATTAATCCTTGTTTCTATTAATTTTCAGGATTCTATGACAAAGATAAAAAGAAGAAACTTGAAATTAATTCTGGTAACATATTGGTTTTAAATAATTTTAAGCTTTAAAAATATACATTGCTGACACATCTGCTGACGAATTTTGTCCCAGTAGGTGTGAGCGTTTCCGACGCAGTGCCAGTTTGCTGAGTGACAATTTGCTTCTGAAAATGATTTTCTGTACATACATTGTCATATCTGCATTTGTTTAGTAGTTCATAGATTCCTCTTTTTGTTTATTGTAAACTATTGATTTCAGAGTTTTCACTGTGATTCTTTACAACATTCCTCCAGTCATCCGTACATCAGTGAAATGTGATTTGTGGTGATTTCCATGTATGATTTTTCCTGATCTATGTTTTGCATGTTTTGTTTCTTTTTTAACATACCAAATTAATTTTAAAAAAACAATCATACAGCATTCATTTATTTGTGAGAATGTGTAGATTCTATTTCATATATTCATCTATGAAATTCCTCTGGACCACATTTGCAAAACATTCATGAAAAGTTCCTTGGTTAAAGTCCGACTCCGGAGGAAAACAAATTTTGATGTGTTGTAGAACTGATTTTTCTAACACAAAAAAAAAGTTGTTTGACGAAAAATTGGGGAATGGTGAACAAGATTCAGATTTTTGAATATTTAAAAACTGGGGGATAAGGGGCGTAACTGCCCATTTTTACACCTTTTTCCCCCAGTTTTTAAATATTCAAAAATCTGTATCTCATTAACCGTTGCTTAGATTTTGATCAAACTACTTTTTTCTATCTTAGAAAAATCAGTTCTACAACATATCAAAAACTTTTTCCTCCGGAGCCTGACTTTAATGTTTTTTTAAACATTGATATTTTTGTTTTGGCAGATAATAATGAGGATCTGATAGATGGCCAACTGCCGGCAGATAAAATTGGTACTGCAAAATGTTACCAGATTTCTTCACTGAATGAAAATACCATGAAGAAAACTGTAAAGAAGTACTCAAAAAGACTTATAGAATATCCTTTGTTTGTGTTCATGTGTCATCAGCCGAAAGTATGTCAGAGTTATCCATTTATTGTACCATAATATTAATCCCTAGTGGTATGACTGGGCTAAAAAAGTATTTCATGTAATTCTACAACCTCGTATTACCCCTCATACGTATAAACTCTTATGATTGAAAATGACATGATTACTTTGCTGACAATATGTTGACAATAAATAACGAAGTCATTATTTTATTGACAATATTTTGACAATGTGCTTATAATTATGGGAACACAAAGACGATATTCGATTGATTTCCCGAATCATGTGAACAATTTCTATCCTTACATTAGGGTTACTCGTGATTATTCAAAACATTTATAGCTTTCCTAGGTGTATAAAGTCTTAAAATCTGTATTAAAATCATAGTACTCTTCAAAAAATCATTCATTATAGGGCTACTTCTCTCCAGAACTCACACCAATAAATGTTTAATGATTCTACTCTCTTATCTTTTAAATTGCAATTAAAATCCTCCCTCAAACTTGATGTACTTCATCTTCTGTTATTCTCTGCTGACATGGTGTCCTTACCTTTTTAATAATCTGGGGTTTTTTGTTTGTGTTTGTGAACTTTTTCCTTGTAGTATGAATTTCACTCCAAAACTTTACAAGCCATTTAATTCAACGTTTCGCTTCTATTTAATCATCATCAGGAATAATACATATAATACAAAGATAAAAACTATATACAGTATCAGTTACCAGAGATCATAATTAATATGCAATTATTTAAATGAGGCAATTATCCAATCAGAGTGAAGTGGTATCATGGTGAGAAATTATATTGAGGATAACAGTTCTGAGACAAAGATTAATAGTAGGTTAGGGCAAGTTATCAGTGAGAACCAGGTCTAACTACAGGAAATAAAATAAATAATCGGTAACCTGACAAGAGAAACAAATTTAACTCTTTAGATGCTTTTAAGCCACTATTTAAGCTTGGCTCTTGTTTACATGTATAGCATAGGCTTTTCTAAGTAGTAGTATGTAAATCGGATTAGACAAATTGATACAGGATCTGTTTGGACTTAGTGCTTTCACCTCTTTATTCTATTGGTAAAACCTGCAACACATCAAAATACTGTGTAACAATAACAAACTATGCAGTACAGTTTCAAAACAACAAACATTAAATTAATTAAATATAAACCAAACGTGGTCAAATGTTTCCTTCTTGCTTCTGCCTTCTCTCCATTCAACAACTGCCGTCAGTTTCAATTGTATGGGACGCAAGTTGTGCAATACAGAGCGAATTCAACTGGGCAATTTAGTCCTTTTCCAATTCAGTATGTTTTATTATTATTACAAGAATGAATGATGGATCAAAACGGTCCATAGCGGATGTGAATTACATAATTGCTGTTGACATGATTCAGACTTATAAATATTTGTATTAAGTTTTTGAGATACACATTATGTGTTTAAAACCACCACAGTTAAATAAATGTTCATGTATGACGCTATCTTTTCCTCGCAATGATCATTAATTCTTGTGAGGAGACATATTTCTGTTTTACCAATATACTCATTACATCCTGGGCATTTAAATCTATAAACCACACTACTTTTGAATTCTTTAGGTGTGGAGTCTTTAGTAGATGTGCAATAAGAAAGATTCTTATTATGCCAAATAGTAATGAAGTGAACATCATCAGTTAAGTTGCGTTTGATTTTAGAGACTGTGCGTTTCAGAATTTTTTTCCCAGTAATACCACAGAACGGTAATCTGATCCAAAATTTAGTTATTTCCTGGTTGTTATCATCGGTAGTTCTAACATAGACCTTCTGCAACTTATAGAAAACTTTTGTGATGACATGTATAGGGTAGCTATTCCAGGACATAAAAGGCTTTATCGATTTCTTTCTTGATAAGATTAGTAGAACACAGTTTGTTGGCTCTATAAAAAGAGACTTCTGATAATACGTTCACCACAAATTCACGAAAGTTGAAAGTAATAAGATAAGAACACAACTTAACACACTCCAGAGTTATCTTTGTACTATCCACAAGCGTAAAGAAATTTCAGATGATGAATACAATAAGATGTGACCAGTATCTACCATGCCTGCACGAGCCCATGGCCTACCAAAAGTCCATAAGGCATTTGTAACGTCACCGCCTTTTCGACCCATCAGTGACACAATCGGAACAGCTTATTACAACATTGCCAAATTCTAATAATGAATTCTAAGCCCACTTGCTACTAATACATACGTACTAAAAGATTCATTTGATGCTGCTTATCGCATCCAGTCCCTTCCAATTGAACAACTATATCATAATGGTTACCACTTTGTGTCGTTTGATGTTGTCTCATTATTTACAAATGTTAACGATCGATGTGATTCTTAAAAGAGCTTATGATGACAACAAAATTACCACAACGGTAGAGAAGAATACACTTAAGAAAGTAATCAAGGATAAATGTACTAAAACAATTTTCTCAGCTAATAATGTATATTATATTCATCTTTATTTTGTCGCTATGGGCTCCCCTTTTGGACCAGTCCTTGCAAACATAATTATGACTGAACTTGAAGAGCGAATTGCTCCTAAATTGGAAAAGGAAAGTATTATAAAATTCTGTGGCAGATATATTGAAGACACTTAGATTCCTGCTAAACCTGAATATTTCAACACGATTTATAATGCTTTAAATTTATTTCATCTTGAACTAAAATTTACATGACTTTAATGGAGCAGCCACGATTAATTTTCCTGATTTATGTATCAATCAAGTGAAATTTCAATCTAACAAAAGAAAACTCATACATGCCAATTTATCCACTTCATTAGCTTCAAACCATTGAAATAACAAAACATCTTGGATCAGAAGTCTATTTCTGGAGCCAACAATCTGTGTTCCACTAATCTAATAAAGAAAGAAATTGATAATATCAAGGAATGGAATGGCTACCCTAAACGTGTCATCACAAAAGTTTTCTATAAATTGCAGAAGATATATGTTAGGACTACCGATGATAACTAAAATTTTGATCAGATTACCTTTCTGTAGTAGTAATGGGGGAAATAAAATCTGAAACGCACAATCTCTAAATTCAAACGCAACTTAACTGATGATGTTTACTTCATTACTATTTGGCATAATAAGAAACTTTCTTATTTTACATTTTCGGTATGTATAAAGTTGAAATTTAATAGATGGATAATTTAAAAATATAAAATTATAGCACATTTTAAAGAGAACAATGTCTTATACATTAAATATGAATTTATACCAACAAAGATCACAAAACGACGGTCCTTAACATTTTGCACGCATACTGAAAAACAACTGATACGAACCTACCCAGCTGGAATAAGAATCGATTCGTCCAACTACAGTCCTATTATGCCTTGGGCATGTGGAATTCAACTAGTGGCGCTCAACTATCAAACTGAAGGTTTGTAGAAACAAAAATATAAGTGTAATTAAAGTGTATTATAATAGTTATTTTATGTTGTAAGTCATTATATTAGAGAACTATTTAATTCACTATTCATCGATCTTTTTTGTGTAGATGATAACACAATAAAGTAAATCTTATTTGCAATTCATCATTATTTGATATTAACACTATTCTCTGATGAAGAATTGAGCCTCAACCAATGTCAAATTATGGAGGTATAAAATAATTATAAGTTTATACCTCCTGGTTGGATGATCATGGAAACCTTGACTCATTGGTCAAGAGTGGCACCAAGATATTCCTGAGGTCCCCGACGGGTGGTCAATGTCATACGAGTGATGTTTTTTGCCGTACCAGGCATTTTAGCAAGTATTTGGGAACATGCTGATTATTTGGTACGATAACACATCAGGTAGGACCAGGGAACAGTGAAATTACATTTCACTGTTCACTTCTAGGACAAACATCACTCATACGATATTTTCCTGACGCAAACTCACATCGAAATAGCATTTGCAGTATCCGATGCTACGTGGGGATCGAATTCAAGACTGATCTAGTGTGGTACCAGGCTAGTTCAGGAGGTTGCGGGTTCGATTCCCAATTGAATCATTTGCGAATTTTTTTCGCGATTATCTGGGAACGTACTGAGTGTTCGGTACGAAAACACGACTGGTAGGCAAAACATCACTCCTCGAATAACTCTTACCAACATAACAACTTAACATAATAACATAATAACTCTTACCAGCATAAAATAGGTATAAATATTAATGAAAAAAAAATTACACTAACACGAAAGTTTCATTTAGATAAGTTGTTTAGTTTTCGAGGTATCTGATCTGCGACATTTTGCTTTAAATGGCCCATAATCGACACCAAAATATAAACACTTCACTTTTCGAACGCTTTTTATTGTATTAGTTGTACATCTGCCAATTCCCAACATGTTGTGGCTTTACGTACTTGCAAGTTTTACACTTATAGCTGACAAATAAAATACATGCAATGTATTCGTGTTGAAATGGAAATATTATTGAAATAGACATATGGGGATTTGGTTTTTAGCGTCACATGTTTAAATGTAAAGATGAATTAAAAATATTCCCAATAAGTTCCGATAAAAAAGGTGGAGTTAGTACATATAAAACGCTGTACACCTTTACTGTAATTGCACTAAATATATTCATCATATAGTTAGTGATTCGATAATACGGTCAACTTATTCTTTAAATGGGCCTCATATCCACACCCTACTATGGATCGTGACCAAAATTAACAATGAGATTATTACGCTAGAGGGATTATAGCCACACTCGTAGAGAGGTGGTGGTGGAATTATTATATACATTAAGGACAGAATTGCTTGTACTTATTGGAATTCTTTAACTCATGATGATCTAGTCAATCTGGATCATCATGATCAGATCAATCATTAACCATCCTGAGAATTCAGTAGCAAATGAAATGTCTACACATATTTTAAGTTGTTTAGATATGATATCCAACAAATACCCTGAAACGGGTTTCATTTTATCTGGTCACTTTAATCATATGCGAGATGCCCAGCTACTACCCGCTTCGCCAAGTCGTCAATGAGCCTACTCGAGGTGAGACCACGCTTGATTGTACGTATCTACACTAATGTTGAAGAATTTTACAACCCACCTGAGATACAACCCCCGTTGGGTTTATCTGACCATAACCTTGTCATTTGGAAACCGAATTGTAACTTGAAGATGAGAATTTCCCAAACTACGACTGTGTACAAACGTCTATACTCTAAAGTAGATAAAAGGCAATTCGCAAATTGATATAATTGAGATTAATAGGAGAACATTTCCTACTTGAAATCTTGCGAAGACAAATTTCAACGTTTTATGAGTAATATGTACGAACTCATTAACAGGAATTTTCCCGTTCGAGTAGTGAAACGTGATATAGGTGACAAACCGTGGGTAACTAATAACTTTAAGAAATTGATTCGTAAGAGACAAAATGCATTTAAACAAGGTGAATGTGGAGCCATTGAGTTCCGTCGACTCCGCAACAAAGTTAACAGACATGCAAAGAAATTACGGAAAAGTTATTACTGTCGTAATATCTCACATTTGTTTAATTCTGACGTTTCAACTTGGTGGAAACGAACCAAGGATTACCTGAATAGGAACTTTATTTAACTTTGCTAAGGGTCTTTCGAATAGACTATGCAACGGAGATATTCGTGTTCTGGTTGAAAGAATTAACGAATTCTTTAACTCGGTCACTAGTCACTTTCAACCTATTCCCCCTGCTGCCGATAAAGGTGTCCGGACTAATCGTGACTGTGATCGTACCTTTAGGGGTTATCACTGGGTAGCAAGGTCATGGTCCCTACCTTCCTGATAACCCGATCATTGATGTGGAAACTGAGAAAAAAATTTATTTCTCTTCGTGGTTATCACCGAATGGCGGAATTCCGCAGGGCTGTTGGTTAGGACCCATTTAGTTTATATTGTTTATTAACGATTTAAAGTCTGATTTACATGTTACCAAATATATGGATGACACCTCGTGGTTGGAGGATAATAATAGTGTCACACAAAGCTGTGTTAACGAAGTCAACATATGGTCTGGCAATATGAATATGGAACTAAACAAGACTATGACAAAGGAAATTATTATATCTACAAAGAGAAATAAAAATGATTTTTCGAAAGTTGTAATAGATGATAAAGAAAATTTCTTTATCATCTATTACAACTTTAATTGAAAGAGTTGAGCACATTAAGCTTCTTGGTGTTACTATTAGTGCAAAACTTATATGGTGTGATCACTGCTATTTTGCGTAAATCTAATACCAGGTTACATTTTCTTAAACAACTTAGGAGAGCTGGGATTGGGGAAGATGCGCTGCTTCGATATTTCATCTCGGTCGTGCACCCAGTCGTTGAATACGCCTGTCCAATCTGGGGCACATGCGACACTTCTGAACAATTTTAAGAGTTTAGAAATTATCCAACGTCGTGCTGTTGGAATAATAATTCCATTTACCCTTACAATTTAGCATGTGAAATTCTAGAGTTACCTCGACTGGAGGACAGACGTATTTATTTATGTAGCGATATTTCGGGAAAATAAAAAAATCAGACCATAAACTCAATTACGGTACTTGCTACATGGAGCTACTGAAAACAATCATAATCTAAGGGTTAAGCGCGAATTTGATCTTCCACTTGCCAAGCTTCAGCGTACTAGAAAGTTCATTACAACGTATGGTAGATACGAGGGATGGTAACCCTTATCTACCACCCCTCACAGTTACGCTTATCCACCGAGTATTTTGTTTTCATGTCTTTTGATGTTTTTTTTTATACACATTGTATTTTTCCAATCCCAAAGTAAATGAGATTGCAATAAAGATTACGTATATAAATACACTTCTTTATTAAAACATGACAAACTATTCTGCCAATTGTCATTTTTATCCATTGATCCATTTTTGAGATATTTAGGTCTGGGACCTTTTGGCCCCCAAATTAAATCGTTACCAACACATAATTTCTTCTTTATACCTTGGTTAAGCTTTCACGGAAGTTTCAATCATATCAGTTGATTAGTTTTTGTGTCTACTGCCCCCAACGGGGGCTGTAGACACTATGTCATGATGTAGCAATTAAAGATGGCGGAAAGGGTAAATCCGGTGGAGGAATGATGGGTACTGCTACCAAGTGGTAGGGGGCGCTCTATTGAAAATCGAATAGCTTTAGGAACTCTTTAAAAATTTCGTTCGAAACTCGAACATGCGTTAAAGAGACCCAGCACTCGTTCGACACGAACGCCTTTTACGTCATTCGAAGGACGTCCTCTAGAACATGGTAGTACTTTTCGAGATCGATATAACGCGGTAACTGCAAGAGTTACTCGTTTTTTATTTCACCTTTTAATCTTCACGTCTGAAAAACCAATCGTATAGTAGTGTGTAAAATTATTACCAAGGGCCGTACCTAGGGTGCTTAGAGAGGTTAGAAAACTTGCAAATTTACTTTACTATTTACTTTTTAGTATATTGTATATTATTAATATTCGTATAAAGCCCTAGCCTAGGGCAGGCCTGGACCTTTACCTAACTATCGTGCTAACACATGTGGCCTGCTAATGCTGCCAACCTGAATCATCTGAAAACCAAAACACACCCATGCCTAGGCCTTTAGCGTTCTTACGAATTTACCATGCTAAATACCTGTGTGTCATGGCCTGCTAACCATGACTTGCTAGGCTAAGGCCAGATTTATTTTCAACAATATTAAACCAAAGCATGCTATTTTGTTCCAGGGTAAAAGTATTCATTAAATAGACACCTTCAGAAATTACATTGCATGTCGTATCCCATTAAACAAAACATTTCCCCTAGGGTAAATCTACATACATGTTCGAAGTTCACATGTACGCCACGACTTTATTGCTTTACATTCATATTTGATGTTTATGTATGTTCATTTTCAGCCTTTCGATGTTAAACAACATTAATTGACCTGTCTCTTTCTTTGCAATGATGACATTACACTTCTAACAAACTCGGATGATGTACTCCGAGTCTGAATAAAGGCAGACATTTTCCAGGAGATCCACGCTGAGGGACTTCTGGAGGAAAACTTATTGAATTGCTCACTTAATATGGACTCCGGTTTTCCTACAATATGCGCTATATATGTCGACAATTATTATTATTATTATTATTATTATTATTATTATTATTATTATTATTATTATTATTATTATTATTATTATTATTATTTCTAAAATAACGATTGTTTAGATATTAGGCCATGCATTATTTTGTTACCACCCCCACTCCCCTCCCCCTACATTATTATTATCATTGCATTTAACCATGTATATGTTATGTTGTATGGATGCCCAGGCCCGTAGCCAGGGGGGGTTTTATGGTTCGGGCGAACCCCCCTGTTTTCTAGCGAACCCCCTCGAATTTTTGAATGAGTCCCACTCGGACAGAATGTCTGTTTTTAACTTGACTAGCACTAAATCAAAATTTAGCACCTCATTCATTATTTGGTAACCCGTTTTTAAATTGTAACCCGCGATACAAGCTTACATTTATAGAATATCTCAGCTTCAAAAGTTCGGAGATTTAACTTGAACGCAACTCCAGCAAACCATGAGTTTATGATGGCACACATAAGGATGGCAAACATCGATAAAAACCCGGCTGCCGTTTCAACTTTCACTGACCTCCGGCTGAATGTTTGTAAGAAATGTACCAACCGTTAACGAAACCGGTCGCCGTCTACCTAGAGTAAATGGTGCCACCAAACGAAGATAAAGTTTTGCGACTTAATCCACCAAATGCAGATATAGTTTTGCGACTTAATCACCTGATTGTGGATTGTGTGGTTAGTAAATTCCATAGCCATACTGTTCATAGCGCACACTAAATTTTTTGGATATTGACTCTCCTTTATTCCATCCCAAACAAAATATTATTAATAAATCAACATGGTCCATCTCAGTCATCATAGCCAGTCACAAAATTAGGCTAGGAAGTTTGTTTTCAACAGCAAACACACACTAGAGAACGGAGTGCGTCAAAACGAGTGTTTGTTAATTTTTAGTGATAAAGAATCATGAAACGTCGTAGAATAACTGACGTTTTTTCGTCTTTAAGGTGGGTTATTGATTTCAAAATCAATTAGCCTAGCCTAGATGTTGTCAAGCTAGGTTCGCTCCTCGTTCATTTAGACACAGAATTATACCCCGACGACCACAAACTAGTGTAGGCCTGGCAAGTACTTAGTAACAGTAGGACGTACTAGGCCTAGGCTTTTGTTGTAAAAGTTGAAGTGCATGTACAAAATGCGCCATATGCCTATATTTAAAAAAAAACCATTTTGCTAATTATTATTGGTTGGCCTGGGACCGGGACAGGCAGGCCAGTTTACCGTCGAAAGTCCTGGAATTGGACGATAATGTCAGTGCACGTTTACAAACAAATGCCATTGATTAGATTGAAAATAGACGCGCTGAATTTCGTTTTTTTTTTCATGAAAGATAGAATTTATCGAACATTTATCTATATAAAAACAAGATTAATATAATTGTAGAAATTGTATTTCTAAAGATGCATATAATTCATATTTAATTTGGTAGACAATAAATATTCAGGAAGATACACTAAAAACGATTATTAATTCTAAAATGTGCATCAAATCTCAGCTATTATTAATCAGTATGTATTATGTTAAAGTCTTAAAATAATAATTTCGAATTAGGCCTCGAATTAGGCCTAGTATATAAAAAATAATTGTATTAAAGTTTAGGTTCTCATGATGTCAGATAACGTAGGCCTATTGAATATGATGCTATATTTTGGGCTCTGACTTAATTTAACGATGGCCCTGTCAGTAGTAATGACAATATTTGTGCTTTTTTTAGCCATGTAGTAAAATAGTACTATTATGTTTGGTGTACAAAATGAGAGTCAAGAAGAAGAAGTAGTAGAAGAAGAATAGGAAGAGGAAGAAGAGGAATAGTCTTTTTTTTTTATAATAATAAATGTGTTGAGTATATTGATATTGATTATGCGATGGAGGGGTCTTTCGGTGTTATTTAAACATGCCAATTCTCAGAAAATATTTTCTAATTTTATTATATTACCACCTTTTTATTACATAGATCTTTTTCAAAACACTGCTTTTAAAACATTATATACACCCATTAAACACAAAAACTGCTCTGGCTTCGGGGGCTTCGCCCACGACCCCACCGTGGCCCTTAGGCAGGCCCCTGGACCTCACGCCCAGAGAACCCCCCCTTGAAATGACCTGGCTACGGGCCTGATGCCTATGATGTACTGTATCTCATCATAACTGGCCTAAGTCTCTGTGGTTAAAAGGATCTATTCTAAATTTGTCTAGCCTGCCCAAGGCAAAAAAGTAGGTCTACTCTATCTTCACTAAGCCCAATCGTCTGTCACTAGGAATCTCTCTCTGTTCGCCAATGATCTTTTTATCAACCTCCTTTACTATTTTATTTAATTTTATTTTTTTATTTTTTTTGGGTTTTTCTAAAATTGTTTTGTTTTTGTTTCGACATCCAAAAAAATATTTTTTTATTTGGATTTGGATATGCACTTTTGAATCAGTGGCACTCAACCACTTGGTTAGGTGGTGCATCCTAACAACAAGAAAAAATATAAAAATTACAATAAAAAATAAAGACATCAAAACAACAAGATAATCAAATTAGCTAAAACTAAAAGAGAAAATATTTCTATTTTCTATGACAAGAAGAACATCAGTCTCTAGATGACACGTCTCTCTCCTGCAACAGTCGTACGGAAAAAGGAACGCCCACCAGAGACACCCATCAGCCAACCACCTGATCGCAACAGGGCTGTTACAACCAAGAATGCACTCCCGCACAGCTACTACAAAAGAGAGACTTGTCACTACAGCTGTATGAAGTGTAAAACAAGTTTTAAAAAGTCAAAACAGCTAACAACAATAAAAACCAGTGCCTTACAGTAGGAGCCATCCATTGTTTTTATAACCGTCACAATAACACAAAACATACTCTTACACAAGATCTTCTTTCCCCTCTCTAGAGTAATGATTTTGTCACCCAGAAACCATCATCCGCAACAGAGCAAACCCTTCCTCTCATCCCACTCCAGAATGTTTTGAACTCTTGTGAACTGAAGAACAATAGACAGTCCCTAAACAACTAGCACCTTAAGAGCTTTTTCACTAAATGAGTGTTGAAGTTTGCTACTTAATATACATTTGTTTCTGTTTTCAGATACCAACATGATCCTAAATTACACTCAGTTTGAGCAGGCTGGTGGAAGTGGGTACCTTCTCAAACCAACAATTCTGTGGGATAAAACAAATTCTATGGGTAAGGACTTCAATGAAAAAGACACAAAGGATTTATGTTCAAAATCACTCAAAATAACGGTAAGGCGATAAATTGTTAAGTACTCCTTTTTTAACTAAAATTTCCAAGCAGATGCATTTGACAATAATAAATGTACAACTCTGTTCCATTTGGAAGAACAGTCAGTGAGCCCTTACATGAGTTCTACCTCAAATATAGGAGTAATTCAGTATGAGCATAAACATTTCAGTTTGAACCAAGGAGTCTGAACCATTTTCGGCCTACGATTGCATGTTATCCGGCACATAAGAAGAAGCCTAAAATAATTAATGTATATTCAAAGCCCTTTGTCTATTTTTGCCCACTAATTTCAGGCTAAATTACTATTTTTTCATGGAGGAGTTGTCACCTTCTTTTCGTATTACAGGTACATAACGAATTTATTAAGTCTACAAACTTGAGAAACACTGGTTTATCGGACAATTTAACTACTGTATCATCAACCATTCATTTACCAACAACCACAAAGTATTACGGCACTCAAGGCGTAACAAAGGATCAATCGAAATACATAAACATTCTACGGTACCTGAGTGTGGAAATCAGCGATATTTGATTATCCTTGTTTAATTTCACTGTTCCCAAATTTAACCGTCACCATTCGAAAAAGCCGAAACAGCCACGGAAACAATACCACAAACTAACAAATATAACAATATAAGTTTGCACAACCAGGAAAAACCCAAGCTATCCACCTAAAGCACACGATTTTTGGACTACATATAAAAAACATAATAGAAAACAACATCCACACAAGCTATCACGGTTCTACCGACATTTATTCAGATCGCATCTCAGCAGAAGCCTATCAAATAAAATTAGCACCATAAAAACAATAAAGAGAAAGAGATATACAATTTTCACAGTGCTAACCTTCAGCAGATTTAAAAGGCCATCCTTTCAGCTCTTCATCAGTTTACGCTGAAGACGGTTAACGTACAATAATCGTAACGGTGGGACATTACAATCCAAACGGTTCTTCTCAGAACCAAACACCACCAATTGATAACATATTACCAATTACCAATTTGTTACCAATTTGTAACATTGCTGCATGGTGTAAAAAGCTTAAAATTAAGTATTAACATCACCGATGTTTATCATTTATATTTTGTTTCTAGTATTTTAACTCTTTAGTGTACAATGTAATTGTTCAGGAAAAAAAATATGAAGTTAGGCTAATGTTTGCTTTCTGAGTACATTTATGACATACTCTTCTAAAATAAATCGATTGAATATTCAATCCAAATGATAGACTTTTCAGTCTTTTCCGGTTGTAGTTAGGGACAATTTTTTAAGATTGCAAAAGTGATTGATATACAGTATTCAATCTTAGGAAGGTTTGAACATTTCCCTCTAAAAGTCTGAAACGATTGGACATGTGTTTTATTGAATATTTGGCCTCTCAGAATACATCCAGAACCTTGATGAGGTAGAAGTTTAGGCAAAAAGCATAACGTATTCACAAATTCACAACCGTTCACAATACGTTCTCAAAATGGCTATTGGGTAGAATTATTGGCAAAAAGCATTTCATCCAGAAATCACACAGAGGAGCTGCATATTTAACAGAAAATGCATAGTGGCTCTTGAAGAGACGATACACATCTTCGACAACATATGCACTGTAAGCCTCCAGAACCGGGCGTCTTGTCTAGAATTAGGAACTACTGATTTGGGTTTCCGAATGGTCCAATTGCCAACAATGTTGTCTGTATTTCCCATCTTTAATTCTCACTACTCTACAGCACTGACCCCTGTAATAATACAATACAAATGTATTAAGATACAATAAATAGAGAATTAGAAATATGACCAATTTGTGTCCACAACATGGGTTGATCTGCAGTAGGGCCTAGTTCAATAAAAGAGTTGAGCATTAGTTAATGATATATACTCTCTATTATTTTTTTTTAAATGTCACCACCCTTTGTCATTGTTACATTGGTTGGTTTTAGGTTAATTAATTTTTAAATTTTTATTTCACAGATGTTATTTTTTTAACTTGTTATTCTCAACCAGTACATTTAATAAATTTAGATATGGCACCTAAAATAACAAACATTATGAAACTTACCAAAAGAAATTCTGAATTGTTATTTTTTGAGAAAATGTAAGGTTGCCTTGAAGAAGTTTAGTCATTGTATCGACAGAATTAAGCCACAGCCATTATATATAAATCAAACCTATTGTTTGTACTCTTTGCGCCAGCACGTGAACAGCTATTGTATAATCAACATTTAATAGACTGATTGGGCGCCAATTCGATTAGGTTAGCTGCATCACCGTTTTTATATATTAGGGTAGAGAGAGCCACATTTTTGCGTATCATATAACTCCCATAAATACGTAATATTCATTTAAGCAATTATCTGGTAACTTTTTCCACTAGATATCTAGGGCATGAAGCCTTTCACAACATTTACCTAGTCCATTTGAAGAATTGTCATTTACGTTATATGAGCTTTCCTGTCTATTTCGTTTAAGGACAGGCAATTAAAATCCCCTTCATTTAATAAATTGTTCAGGTTTAGTCAAAATCCAGTTGCTTTGGTTAGGAGGAGCACCCTTTCTGTAGCCTTATTAAGAGCATAATTATTAACAATTGTATATAAATTTGAATTTATTTGAACAATGATTAAAAGTTTTGTATCATAATTGTCCTGATGTGCATTAATTATTCCAAATGAGAGAATTTTATTGAATAAGATGAAAACACCCCTGCTGTTTCACGAAGGCGTTGTCGTCCCATTTCCATTCCTCGCTGTCAGTTTAATCTTGTGTCAAATGTGTTTCCTGTGCTAAATTCTTCGTACTAACAGTGGTGGTGGTGCTTCACCCTTTCCTCTAAATTTGTAAAAATTATTTTAATATAAAAAAAGAAATTTATATTCAAATTTGAGTCTGAAAGTGCCAATTTCGGCCATCTAGATCTGCCTTAAATATAAATGTTCTTACCTCAGCCACAACCATGATAGGGCTGAGGTGTTATAGACGCTCAATCTGTGTTCTTCCCTTGCCTTTTCTATTTCAAATTTCTAGATCCGCCACTGACAATGGCAGATTCAAGGAGGTTCCCCCTTTCCAAATTTTTCAAAATAAAACAAAAATGGGGAAAAAAGAAAAGGATATTCAAATTTCCTGGACGTTTGGAGGCCATAATCATAAATTTTTTACCCCTCAGCCCAATGAATGGTGGGGCTGAGGTGGTGTCTCTTCTATCTGTGAAAGACCCTCCCTGGCCCCGTCATCAAATGATTGGATCCGTCACTAAAACCTGTTTAATACATGCATCTTCAGAAGTCGATTAAATACGACCTCATATCAAAAACACCTGAGCTCCGCTCAAGGGATGGCGCAGGGGGGTACGTGGGTGAGGGCCCGATTTGGGGAGAGCTGACCCCACCCCAACCCGTGAGGGAGAAAAACCACAATTCGTCGGGGAGAAAAAAAAAATTATATGTATTTTATACATATTAGTAGACTTTAAAATCGATTAAAATAAGCCTTCGTAATCCCTAAATTGTCAAAATTTTCGGAGGCTTCGCCCCCTCCGCCACTTTCTAAACCTTTTAATCGAAGCTCGACCACGCCCACTTTAGTTTCGTCGAGGAAATCTGACCCCTCGTTGGGGGCATCGGTCCCCCCGTCAGGAACCTCGCCCCCTCCCCCAGTCCGGCAAATTCTGCTGCCGCCCCTGCTCCGCTCCTTCGATCCAAGCAGGTTTAATCGAAGCTCGACCACGCCCACTTTACTTTCGTTGAGGAAATCTGACCCCTCGTCAGGGGCATCGGTCCCCCCCAGTCAGGAACCTCGCCCCCTCCTCCCGCCCCTGCTCCGCTCCTTCGATCCAAGCAGGTGCCCCCCCCCAAAGCAGCCATTGTTGTTTGCTAACCCTGTTAAAGTTAATTGAATAACAATGACTAATTACCAATACTAATTGTTACGCATTTTATTCACTATACTAGATTTTTATTTCAAAGGTGCTGTCCGGTCAAAATGTCTGCCCAAAGAACTTATCTGGAAATCCACAGGTGGAGGTAGAAATTCTTGGCATACCAGCTGATTGTGCAAAGTATAAAACAAAGGCAGTTTCACATAATCAGCTAAATCCAATGTGGATGGAAACATTTGTTTTCAGCATACAGTTTAAGGAAATGGCATTTTTGAGACTAGCAGTGACAGATGGAGGCAGCGTAACTGCTCAGAGGTGTATACCACTGACGCAGCTCAAACAAGGTAAGGAAAATAAACGCACACATCTTTGAATGCCTAGTGTAGAACCGTTAGGAAGAATAACAGCAGTACTGACAGGCTGTGACGTGGTTCACGCTTGTTTTAGACCTAGTTAAACGCATGTCATGGCATATATATATGATTAATAAGAAAAAAAAATAAGTAAGTTATTGGTATTTGAATTTTAACCCATAATAAATTTTAATTGACAAGCCGTTTACTGGCATGTTCCTGCTAAAATTTTCCGTAACTGTATTTATATCCTTTTATGTGCATAGACAAAACAATATCGTAGGCGTATTGCAAAGAATGCAATCCGTGACTGTCATGCATGTCGTTTACGGCAACAGTAGCTCGAGTGTACCACCTTGTGGTACGCCACTAGTATTAGCCGTATAACATTAATCAAGTATGATTGAAACCAAGATGTAAATGTTATACCTAGAGCTGAAGGTTTTCTATAAATATCTACTCTATAAAATGCTTTTCAAATATGCCGACATGAAATCCTTTCTTAAATATACATCAAGGATGTGTATTATTATTATTAATAATAATAATAATAATAATAATTATTATTATTATTATTATTATTATTATTATTATTATTATTATTTAATAATAATATCCATAATCATAACATTCTACAGTACCTCCATGTTTCAATAACTATTGTATCTGACATCATTATTAACTCATTAATATCGATTAGACATGCCATTTAATCCAAAATCCCCGACCGGGAGCCCTTGGCGACCCCCTGGCCCCCAGCCACTGTTCGTGACTTCGGCACTCGTTATCCATCACCCGATATTACTCTTTCAAATTTCTCAAGGTTGACAGGTATGGCAATATATTATTATATTTCAACAATATTGAGTAGTTGGATACGTAGTCTTTCCTCCATGGATCTCATGTAAGAGCCCATGTTAGGGGTGCAGTAGTCTAATGGTAATCGTTCTGTTGCATAATTGTGCAAGATTATCAAAAACATCGGAAGATTTGAACTATATTGTCTACTAAATCGGCAGTCCGGATAATATTGTAACATATGCTTTTAAAAACTACCACTTCAGAACGCAGGTTTACTGATAGATTTTATTTTCCTGTAGAATATATTTTTTGACAAGGGTGGCCTTTTGAAGTTAAGATCACAAATGATCGGAAAAAGAGTACCAGTTTTTGGAGGTGTATGGATGATATCATATCTTCTTGTGATAATGAGGTCAGAAGTATGACCAGCTTCATATGTAGGTTGGTGCATATTTTGGCAAAGATTCATAATACGTAATGCATCTCAGACCTTCATAGTCACCATCAATTTGCTGTGAATCCAGAGATAAAATTATTGTTTCCATGGACGTAGTAAATTCAATAATAAACATTAATGCTGTGGTTAGTTTGAGAATAGATCATAAATGTGTGAATACGACGCGATGCAGATTGTATAATGCATTCCGAGTATTCAAAAATTGTCATATATTTGACAGCCATCTGTTTAACATGAATAGTTTTGCGAAAAAACAATTGCAGTTCCTCCACCCGTGTGATTTTTTTTTCGTATATGGCTCATGTGGCAGGCGGAGTAACTTCGGGTGTCTCTAAAACGAAGACCGAAGACCCAAATACGAAGACCCCTATTTTTTCCTCTTTTATTTTGATGATAATACACCAGGCTGTCACAAAATCAAAATAACGAAATTTTTTGGGCGTCTGTTTGTGAAATTTTTAAGGGTCTTCGTTTTATAGACTCCCTATATGGGTGTCTACAAAACGAAGACCAAAGACCCGAAAAACGAAGACCTCCAATTATTTTTCAATTATCTTATTGAAAGTATTTCAAAATCATCATAAAACAGTTGCCAAGTACCTATTTCATTATTTCATCACGATTGAGAGAATAAAATTGTGTCTTCGTATTTAGGTCTTCGGTCTTCGTTTTATAGACACCCGAGTAACTTCAGCCATAACAGCATCATCGTTGTCACATATCCAAGTTTCTGTTAACAGGAAAATGCGAGTCCGTATCATTTATATAGTCAATAAAACTTGCCATATTATTCCCGATGGATTGGCAAGTTATAGAGCAATTGGAGTTTTCTGTCATAAAATGCACTGTTGTTAAATTCATTATTGATAGGAATTCTAACCAGGTAACAATATGGCCAGGAGATAGAGGTAATTGGTTTAAACATGGAACCAACTACACTTGTAATATCTGGAATTGTTTGTGTATTTTCTGAAGGTAGACTGATCGGCCTGCACGGTGTAAGTTGAATATTTATAGGTAATCTGTTTCTCGATTTTTGAAATACGAGCGTGATGATGTTCGAATAACGGTTGATATAGGTACACTTTACTTACATTAGCCTGTCCTGGTTTTTCACACTTAGGTCCTGGGTTTTCCTCAATATCACTAGAAAGCAATAAGGTATTGCAGTTAACTTGACTGATTTGCGAATCGTGTACCTGGACAAAAATCAAAGCGATTACCATCTGGACGAACATCTCTACAAGAAAATGCTAAAAATATTAGAGCACACAAATTCACAGTACAACATCAAAATACGAACTTGAAAGCTGAAAGGACACTCTACGATAAACCACACAGGTCAAGTTTCCGTTGAATACGAACCCCTAAAACTAGACTAAAATTTGTAAATCAGGTTATTTTCACTGGTATATCTATTTTGTTGAGTCAGGGCTGCTTTTTCAAAGATACACTTAGTATTAGGCCTATAGTTTCCTGCATCAAGGCAACTCTAATTGTAGACCACTCATTAGAGCAAGTGGTCTTATGCCATCGTGTTTGAAAACAAAACATTTGAGGCTTCATTTCTCATGATGTTTGTCCGTCAGAGGTATATTGAGGAGAAAGATTAGCAAATTAAAAATATAAATTGTTTAAGGAAAATTTGTGAAATTTATGTTTATAGAATATCAAACGTATCAGAGGAGTAGTAGTCACTAGGCACCTTCCTGTTGTTGCTCACTCACGACCTGTTTCTTTGTATGAAGGACCTTGCAAGTCTGCTGTAATTTCTATAATGAAGGTACAGCTAGTGCAAAATCGGTAGACCAGCTTAAGTATGTCATGGGGCATTAGCGCGAACTCTAGTACTATAGACACTCACAAGGCCTAAGACGAGCGAAAGGCGGAGGACGTTGTCAAATTAGTGATGCGTCTCACATGACACTACAGTATAATTATGAGAAAAAAGTTTGAAGTACACTTGCTACAGCCCTTTCTGTAACAACTCTCGTAACACCTTTAGTTTTGGTTCCTTCCTTGTTCCTTTTTTCGTTCGTTTTGTTCAAGAGATAATTTTAGGTTGCACCTCTGATCTTATTTTGAGGGATGAAAAATGTTGAGATGCTACAGGTCGAGAGCGTGCATCATTTCATTTCAGACATCCCTTTGATGTAAGGGACACTTACGCTTCCTCTGACGTGGTCTTATCTGCTTTGGTGTGTCCACCTTGATATTTCTTCTGTCAATGACTCATTCGAAGAACAAATCTGGGTACTGACATCTTTTGAGGACTTCTGATGTTAGCGAGCTCACGGTTTTTCATTGTCAGCTTCCGAGACGACTTTTTCTACCCTGTCCTCAAGAGTATTAATTAACCCCAGTTTATGTTCGAGTGGATGATGTGAATTAAAATGCAAGTATTGAATTGTATGAGTGGTCTTCATAAATATGGATTTGGTGGCTGTTCCTTTGTCCTTGAGTGTAATGAGCATGTCTAGGAAGAGTATTTTGCTGTCATCCATGAGTTTGGTAGTGAATTTGATATTGGTTGTATTGTCTATGTTGTTTATATGCGTGCTAATTGTTTGGGAATTATAGCTAGCATATCGTCAACATATCTCTTATAGGAGACAAGTTTGATATTGATATGGAGCTGCTCCAGCTATTCTAGATAAAGGTTGGCCAGTGTGGGACTGAGTGGGCTGCAATAGCCATACCTTCAAGTTTTTTATAAATCGTTTCATCAAAGAAGTAGGTTGTTGTGACTACCAATTCAAGAAGATCCATGATGTCAATTATGGTTAATTATTTCTTTCAAGGATCAGGCAGGATCAGCTACAAGATGATTTTCCGCTACTTTCAGAGCTACTGCAATAGGAGTATTTTTTTTTTTATAACGACACAACGCCAAATAAGATAAAAGTTTAGTTTGGAGTCAGTTTGAGTTGTTTATTGTTGCTGCCAAATCGCCTTAATATCAGGCATGTTGCTCTGTTTGTCCAACTAATAGCTTAAAGGTTTTGGTTAGATGACAAGCGACATTTGGTCCACATGCTTAAGTGTTGCTGCTATATTGGCGCCGTAGCAGGCAACCCCGTCACGTTCCCATTTATACTCATGGGTGAAGAGAAGCAATGTAGATAAAGTACCTTGCTCAAGGATACAAGCGAAATGCACAGCGAGGGATTGAAACCCCGACCTCGAGGGTGGGAGAAACCAAACCGTTCCCGTTGTGCCAAACCTTTTCCAATCCGTTTCTTATCCACTGCATTTGATCACTCCATCATTTTTAAACGACTTTCTTCCGTTGGCACTTGTAAGACAGTATTGTCTTAGTTCACATCTTATCTATTGTGCGGAGAACAAAACGTTTATATTAGAAACGCACCTTCTCCATCTATAGATCTTAATTGTTGTGTGCCCAAGAATCAGTCTTGGGCTCTATTTTGTTTTTGATTTATATTGCATCATTGAGCGGTATCTTCAAATGATGGCCTTAATTACCATGCGTATGCTGACGATACCCAACATCTCATTCCATCCTGGGGAATACAACGAAGCAAAGACAACCATCGAAGTGTGTGCTCAGAACGTACAGGCCTCGCTTGCAACCAATATGCTATCTTTCAACCCTAACAAAATATTTATTTATCCATCCTAAACAACTTTGTGAAGTACCTACATTGAATAACCTTTGATTCCACCAAGAACATCTCTTACCATCTACGTAACATAAAAACGTCCAGGAAGC